GATTGGACACACAAGGAATTTGTCTTTAACTTTTTTTTTAATTTTAAAAAGTTTTTTTATTTTAAACACATTAAAAACACATTAAAAATCAAACATATACATACAACAAAAAGTAACACAAAAAAGAAAAATATCACTTTTCTTTCAGCTATACACAGCGGTCTGCTCTTTCTATACATCAATATTTACAAATATTTAAGTATTTACTTATTAGACGTTCATTTTCTACTTTATATCATTTCTTCTTTACTAACAAAAGATCATACACATTTTCCCCCTCCTTTCTTCATTTATTTAACTTATTTCCTTATGTTTCAAACATTCATACCATCTACTCCAAACCTTATAATACTTTGATTCTTCTTTCCCCTTAATTTCTTTAGTTAATTTATCTAATTCTGAACATTCTAGAATTTTTTTTATTAAATCCTCTTCCGTTGGTAGTGTTTCCTTCTTCCAATATTGTGCGTATTTAACTTTTAAACTGGTAATTGTCAACACATCTTGTGACAGTTTTATTTAAAGGTGAAGTGACTTATACAAGTGAAATGGCACACTAAGATAACACTTAATACATATTTCTATGGCCTGCACCCATTGTAGAAAATGCAAATGAAGAAAATGTTGTATGGCTTGCTGCCATCAATCTTCTATCTTTTGCAGGTTTTGATGAACTACAGAAAAACCTACAAATCAAACCTCGCAGGAAGCGTACATAATGAACACATATACCACATAAAAATAAGTACCTGATAAAATGAACAACTCAGAGGAATCTATTAATGCAAATGAATGACTATAAAAGGTAGGGAATACGTGCAATACCAAGTCATCTGTTACCACATAAATGGTAAGCAAGTTGGCAGAAGTGGCAAGAGTGGAGAAAAGTGATGGCAGATTCACCTTTAATTTAATTCCAAGAAAAATAAATTTCTCTGCCCGAATAATAGATATTTGGAAATAACTGGGGGAAAAATAATGTTTGTGTCTGTTAGACAAAAAAACGCTGAGCTTGGCTGAAGCAGAAGAAAAGTAGGCAGAATTTTGCTGGCTATGGGTTTCCTCCAATTGAGTTAAGGATTTCCCCTCAGAAGCCTCTCATGAGGTGAATTAATCTCCTTATTACAACATCCTGTCAAGAGTGTGGCCATTTGTTTCTGATCCATGAAGAGGTAGGTTACAATTTGTCTTGCTGGTGACAGAAGCAGCACTTCATGGGGAGGTGGCATTTTTTAAAAAATTGAGTGAAAGCCTTCCATGACTTTTTTCTCATGCTAGAGTAGACGGAGATTTTTTTAAAATGTATTTGCATGCTTTTTAAAAAGCATCCAACATTAACCAAAGATTACCTAGGTAGCATCCAGGAAGCATTGCAAACCATCCGCTATAAAAAAATATGTAACCAGGAAATGGAAAACAAGCTTAAAATTCACAGTAAAAAAAATTAGAAGGACTTACATATTTTTTAAAATGGACAGATCCATGGAATTTTTTTTCAAAAAATCTTTGCCTGACATTGAAAAGATTTCAACACATACCTGCCCCACCTTTCACTTACAGTCAGGCCCATTGGTGAAAAACTTATGTGCTGTGGGTTGTATCTTGAGGTTTGCATTTAATCTGCAGTTCCAACAGGTGGCAGCATCTGGCCAAACTTGGTTGATCTCAATAAACACTAAGCCAGTTCAGATTTAGTCCTAGAATGAGAGACCATCAGGAAATCTTAAAATTGTAAGCTAGACTGGGGAGTCCAGAAAACATTCCAGGAGCTGGTGATGCCAAACCACCTTCATATATAACAATAAATAAAAAAGTAATAAAATATAGCAGTGCGATTATTTTGTTTACAGCAGAGAGTTTTTTGAGACAGTTAATTAATCTTAAAAATAAATAAATATGTTGCTATGGATGTGTCCATGTATCACCAGGAATTAAGCTTGAATCAATGGTGACTTTACTTTTATTTAACCTTTATTTATTTATTTATTTAAAGTTTGCTGGAAAATGGCATAAAAATCTTCCAAAATGTTAAACTTAGATGTATGTGATTAGAAAATTCAATTTTACAAATTCTGAGAAGCATCAGCCACTGGAAGAATAAGTTATGATTCACATCTGATCACAGGAAGGGGAGTGAACTGGCAGAGTTAAACAACCCAAGAAGTAGGACATCAGCAATGTGAAAGAAAAATCCACAGAAACAGGCAGGGTGTTGATGTAGAACAAGAAATCAGAAACAAAGTGGTTTGGATTGGACTGTTTAGATCAGGGGTGTCAAACTCAAGGCCCACGGGCCCCATCTGGCCCGCAAGGTGGTTAGATCTGGCCTGCGGGACTGCCCTGGAAACAGGGGGGAGATCCCCAGTGTGTGCGCACACACACAAACACGCGTGCGGGTCTGGGAGAAGTGAGGTAGAGGCCCATCAGGCGCAGAGGGAACGATGGGGGAGGGGTCAAAATGGGAAGCCTCTGCCCTGAGCCTCTGGCAGCTGTGTCATTCTGTCTGCACCTGATGGGCCTCCGTGAGGCCTGAAAGGGATGGCAAGGCTTCTCTGGTAGACAAGGTTTGGAACTCACCCTGGTCTCACCTTCCTCTGCTGGAGACAATGGATCCCCCCAGCTCCCGCCACACCACCACAGGTCCTCCTGGCCACGAGTGATGTTGATCTGGCCACACCCACCCCAGCCAGCCCCCCCCCCACCAAGGTCAACCACAAACCTGATGCGGCCCTCAATGAAATCGAGTTTGACATCCCTGGTTTAGATGCTTGTCCTGAATCTTTCGTAGCTCTTGGTTTATGACAGTTTCTTCTCTTTTTGTATGTTTGATTTAAACATCATGATTGAAATACACCAACCCTGTAAGCAGTTTAAGAGTTTGACAATATTAAAATCATTTCCATTATTGAACCTGCATAAAGTAATTTCCATTATTGAGCCTGCATGATCTCTCACAGCCTATCACATGGCTGGCAAGATGCTGCCTTTGCAAAGTTCTATCATTTCAGACTGCAGTTGGGCTCATCTCAAGTTTGTTTTCCCCCCACATTAAAAAAACAAATGAAACGGAACCAAGAATTGAGTGTGAAGACCTGTCCATATGTAAGAAGACAATATTTAAGAACAAAAGGCTTAAATATTGCATTATGCAGGAACAGCACTGCTCACTATCTGTGATGATTAATAGCACCAGAGACTGTAAACAGCTGGAGTCTGAAAGCAAAATAGAAACAAGTTCTAAATGATATTAGATTATATGATCTGATATACATCTGCTTTGTATTAACACAGGCTGCAGCCAGCTTTCAATTTATAAAAATGCTGGACTACAGTGTTCATTAAAATCATTCAGTATAGTCAGTGACCTCTTAGGAAAGCATTTATTCTAGGGGTTTTTTTTTCCAACCTTGGCAAATTTAAGATTTTGGATTTTAACTTCCAGAATTCAACTTCAATTCTAGATGGGGAATTCTGGGAGTTGAAGTCCATAATCTTAAAACTTGCCAAGGTTGGAAAGCACTGATCTACTCCAACACCTTCAAAGATTACTATCCTCCCTGTAATAAAATCAGCATTATTTTTCTTTCTGAAAATGATGATGTTAAAAGCTTCCAGTATACAGCCTGATATGCTTCTGTAATATCTGGAGGCTCTATCTAATTTCTGAGGGCATAAGTAGCTGTCTCTGCCACTAATGTGTTACTGATCTATGTTCAAAGTACTTCTATTGACATATAATAAAGCCCTCTGGAGTTTAGAACTTGGCTACCTAATTAATCTGAATAATTTTCTACCTTGAATATCAGACCCATCATTAAAATGTAGTTGCAGTCTTGATGACGCCACTGAAACTTGGCCAGTGCTCTGTGCCACAGTGGTCTGTGGCAAGCTAAAAGAAAGTTGTTGGGGTTTTTTTTAACCCTTAACATCCTGAAAAGGGAATTCCCTTCCTAGTCCAATTGGTAAATGATGCCAAGTCTTATAAACTTTAGCGCCTGCTGGAAATTTAATTGTTGATCCAACTAGATGTATGCTGCTGGTTCTCCTGTTGTCTGTTTTTGTTATCTTGATCTTAAGATCAATGTTGCAATATTATGGTTTTAACAGTGCTGCCCTATTTTGAACTTCTTCTTTGGAATCATAGTGAAAAACAGTTTGCACATATGTACATAAATACATACATATGATGGAATGATTGGATGGAATGATTACTCACAAACAAATTTGTTGCTATGATCACTATAACTTGGTTACAACTTAATTATACCTGGTATGAATATGTCTTTTTTCCCTTCTTTTGTAGCTTATCTGAACTATTGCCAGGAAATGACCATTTGTAAATGACTAAGGAAAAATAAACCCAGAAACATAATGATATAGATTTCATTTTCTGTGTATCATGTTATATTGTTCTGACTTGCCATTGCAGTTTGAAGGACTCGGCCTTAAGAATCTCTCTTGCAAAGCTGTTGCAGAGCTGAAAATTCCCTCTAGAAGTTTTCTAAAAATACCCTAAATTCCCTTTTGAGATCTTCCCTCTTCTCTCTTCCCCACATGACCCTTTTCTTGACAGGAACCATGCCTCAGTACGATGTCCATCAAAGCTAACTTGGCCAGTGTCAGCCACAGTTCCCTATAATCTCCCAGGAGGTATAGTGGTGCCAGAAGTGACAGAAGTTTTTATCCACATCTCTGAAATATAAACAATATTCCAGAATAATGACAGGAGCTGCATTAGCAACCAATACCCTTTAACCATTTTGGTCCAGATAACGTTAAGGGAAAAAAATTACTATCATTAATACCTGGCTTGGGGTCTTCAACACATCTTTATCCTTATCTACTGTAGCAAAGTACCCCAGCGAACAGCAAATTTCAGACTCCTTCTCTTTTTTGTCTTTCAGAGAGACAGGATTTTTTTTTTTTTTTTTTTTTTTTTTTTTTTTTTTTTAAGCTTAATGTTTTTAAAAAAAGCACTAGGTTTAGGATGGAAAGTCTGGAGATCAGTTCAAACAGCATGTAAACATTTCAGATTCTCCTAGAAAATGACTATGGCTGTCAAATCACTTTTAAAAAAGGAAAGCAAAATGGATTAAATGCCTACCTTTTAATTTGTTCCTCGATTAATCCATGAAAAACATGCACATGTTGCAGGACATTAGAATAGATGTCTTTTTAGGATTTTGAAGAATAGATGGAAAGGGGTTTCTTTCACTAGCTTCCTGGAAATTTACTTTAGATGGCAAATAGGTTTCCTAGAAAATACAGACTTGCCATTGGCACTCAGTCCCCAGTACTTCTCATCAGTTATGATAGACAGCCAAATGTACAGGCATGTGTTGGGAGGGGGGGGTTGGTGTAGTGTATCACTTATAACTTCCTACTATTGCTAAATATGACTACACTAATGCACAGTAAATTCCAGACTATGACAATAAAATGATAGATAGATAGATAGATAGATAGATAGATAGATAGATAGATAGACGGACGGATTTAAGTCTAGATCTAGATCTAGATTAATAAAGATCATTCTATAGGCAGGAGTTTGGGGCGGACATGGTATTCCAACGATCAGACAAAAAATATGGACCACATAGTTAAAAAAACTGCTTACATAGGAGGTAACACACATAACATTTTATCACACTCTAACACAAAAAATGTTTTTCATTCCAGTTCATTAAAAAATGCAAGTCACAATACAACTTTTCATATCAAATTAGGTTTTTTTAAAAACATGTTCATGACTTCTAGAAAAGAATTGATTTGGTTTCCAGTTCTGAATCAAAACTTACATTTTCTAGAAAAAGTGAATTATGGCTCTGCTTGGCTTCCTGAGATGCAGTTTCCTTATTTGGCAATAGTAACATACTCTTACACCTTATTTTTCTTCTTTGTCATCATCTCATAATATTTGCCAGAAACTTTTTCTAGGCTCTGTAATCTGGTAGAAATAAACTAGGAGAAACAATAGATTTCAAATCCCCAAATGAAATTAAATTTAAATTAAAACATAGCAAGAAACAGCTATATATGTATCACATTAAATCTCAGAAATTTAAATCAGATTGATTATGACTGCATCCCATTCAGCTTACATAGAAAATGTAATGGGACTTCTGAAAGATGTTCAAACAAAGATTTGGGTGACTGACAAGAGAAGGGGAGTATCATTGTACAGACATACAACCTGAGGATGGGGCATAGATACTGTCAATGAAGCATTCTAGCATAGATTTTGATATCACAGGGGATCAAGTGCCTCAAGTTTTATACACCTAGAAAGAGCATTCCCTGTTATCTCCTCTGGTTGCCAGAATTAGAGGGAAAAGGTTATTGCTTAATGCATTGTAAGCCACCCCGAGTCTCCGGAGAAGGGCGGCATATAAATTAAAGCAAAAAAAAAAAAAAAGGCAGAAAAGATTTCTCTTGTTTTCACTAACATAATGCATATGTGCTGACTTAATTGTCCTTTAAAGAATATCCATATTGTTTCCTTATTGCCTTATTTTACTGTAAGGAATGTAAAGCTTTCTAAAAACTCTAGCTACTAAAGAGGACCAAAGGAAATTAAAGAAGTTATTTTTTACAAGCAATGTAGCTTGCATCACTGCTTATTTTGTTGGCTTATTTTTCTTTTAAGCATCATAACTCATATTTTGTCGTCAGCGTTTATGTAGCCACTCTGAAGGCTGAATCAGGATGGCCTTGCAACCAAAATCTTTTACTATAATTATGGATAGCTCTATATCTAAATAGCAATGGTCAAGCAGTAGCAATTTTGTAATTCTACTAAAAGCACTGTACCTCCCTAGAACACAGAGTATACTTGTGAAATGTATTGCCACTTTTTGGGACACTGGTTTGGGAAGATAGAAATCAGAGCTCAGTGTATTAGGACATAAAATTAGGAAAGGTTGTTTTAAAAATAAATACAAGACAATATTCAAGAATGAGACTATACTGTAACTTTGACAATTAACTGGATCCTCAGTGTTGGAAATAGTCTTCCTACTTAATCAGAGTTACTGGAAAAGTATACAAGTATACAAGGAGAGTTGCAGCTTCCAAACTCTATATAGAACCATGAGATTGGAGAAGCAAGATCTATCTTATGCTCTCATTGATACAACTTCTTACATTCCTTTGATTGATTGATTTTATTTATTTAAAATATGTATATAAGCCAAATTTGGATCTGTTCTATAGGGAATATTTTACATGTGAAGAGAATCATTCAGCCAGTGAAGCTAGAATACCAAAAAAACAACTACTGGTTTTTCTTACAAATGAAACAAAAATCTTTCAGTAGCTTTCATTTGCATTGGCTATCACAAACCCAACTCCAATCCCCAAATAAAAATATGGTAATAATAAATCCTGCAGTTTCCCCTAGACTCCACTCCAAATGACATAAAATGGAGTCAATCATAATAGAGTATTTATCAGAGGCTCACACTTCAGAAGCCTCTGGCATAGCTCGAGCTGTTGGAAGCCAGCCAAGGCTCAGCCAAGGATAACAAAACAGCTTTCATTCAAGTATTCCGAGCCAATTAAAAAAGACAAATTAGCAGTGTCCTTATCTCTACCTCCTTCTCCCCTTTCCACTCCAGAGGAGTTCTTGGGAAGGAATGTTTCTTATTCTGAGTTGCTGGGCCTCTCTGAACTTCTTCAAGGTCTGTGATGGATAGAAATCTGTTCTTGTGTGCATCAAATGTCATATGGCTGCATCAAGTCAAAATAATAGTAAAGCTGAGGACCTGCAAATAGAAGGGAAAACTGAGGTACTATAAGAAGAAGGCACCCCACATATTATATACTTCATACTCTTTGATGGAAAGCCACTAACGATGCTGCCCTATGAAGCTAATTCATAAGGTTAATTTTAATTAAGCAGGCAAGAAGTCTGCTAGACTAATCCAGAATCCTGGTTTTAACAGAGCAACTGATGACTCTTAGAAAAAGGTCTGAAGATGATAACCTCACGTGTGTGTACTTCATTTGCTATTCAGTAGCTCGTCATACAAAAAAAAACCCTTGAGGTCTTCTCCAAATCATTAAAAAAAAGCAATATAGTTTATTCTGCTTCATGAATAGGAAGACCATATTTGTTTCTTAGTGTGACGATGATAACTCGGCAATCTGGAAATAGTTGATGTATTTACTATCTTTGGTATGCAATGGTTAAAAGGTGGCTTAGAATCACACTCATCTTTGCTAGAAATGTGTTTGTAAAGTAATTAAATCAGCATCAAAGTATCTCAAAAGGCAGCTGCCTTTGCTTGAAAGACTCCCAATGAAGGGCAGCCTATTATCTTTCTACATAATTGGTTTCATCACAGTTATCTACAAGTAAGTAATTGTTGGAAGCCAGCTGGGAAAGTTATAAATGGTATCAATGACCCCAGGATATAGCAACTGTCATAAATGCATGCCAGTTCACAATACCAAAATGAAGATGGTACAACAGTTGTAAGTGTGAAAACTGGTCACAAAGTAACTTTTTTCAGTGCCATTGTAACTTCAAACAGTCACTAAATAAATGATTAGTGAGGACTACCAGTATTGGAATTGGGAAGATTTATAAAGTTCTGAACAAAATATCATAAGCATTGCCTTTCTCTGCATATCATCACCAGTACATATACTATGATTATTAAGTGGTTAAGGAACAGTGTGATATGACTGCAAAACAATATTGTATTTCAATCAAAATGTAATTCCTAAATCCCAGGAAATACAATTTCTAATATATTCCACAATAGTCAGACCGTATCTCAAGTATCATGTCCAATAGTGGATATTATGGATTCAGAGAATTTGAAATAGTTTACTCAGACATTTGAAGCTTATAAGACCGAAAGAAGTGATATCTTGTGCAAAGACAAGGGGGATTTTAAATGCCTGATATTCTCTCATTTTGCTTATCAAGGAACAAATGACAGGACTTCTGACTCTGATGTTAGACTTTTAGCCAAATCTGCATCACAGAAAGCTGTTCATCAAAACGTTGGTTTATTATCTTATATGTGTCAAACTGTTGGACTAAGAATAAGAGATTGAGGCTTATACTACAGGCTACGTCTGCTGACTGCTGGCTGTCTGCAATTTGGCAGTTCAAATCTCACCAGGCTCAAGGTTGACTCAGCCTTCCATCCTTCCGAGGTGGGTAAAACGAGGACCCAGATTGTTGGGGACAATATGCTAACTCTGTAAACCTCTTAGAGAGGACTGTAAAAGCACTGTGAAGTGGAACATAAGTCTAAGTGCTATTGCTATACCCTTCCCATCAACTTGATGACTTTGGGACAGTAATTGTGTCTTAATCCAATCAACCTCACCAAATTGTGTCTATCGGGAGAAATGTGGATTTCTTGGTGTTTTAAGTTCCTGAAGGGAGAACAAGCTGTAAAGTTATTGCATAGTTTAATAAATAAATAATAATAATCAAAAGCTTCAATCTAGTTGCACCAAGACAAATTCCTTGTGTGTCCAATCACACTTGGCCAATAAAAAATTCTATTCTATTCTATTCTATTCTATTCTATTCTATTCTATTCTATTCTATTCTATTCTAGTTCTCTAATTAAAAAGTTAGCTTTGCAGCTTTTTCAGTCCTGGTATAATACTTGAATAAACATATGTCCCACTAAATAATCCGAATTTTAAGCGACCCCTTTCTTGTTCCCTGAGGTTTGGTGGCTGTGTCACAAGGGATTTCTGCTTAAGGATACCAGAAGCTCTTCATTTAAACAGCTGGTTGGAAGTTTTATGGACTTGAAAGACCAGTGTTCAAAAAGACAAGTTAAGTCTGAATTCCAGCCCTTGCAAAAATCTTTCCCTAAACTGATGAGGTGACGTGTCCTTGAAGAAGAGTGATTGCTCTGAGATGAGGTGGGTGCAGATCAATGTGGGATCAAAATATTCCTCCTGATAAGCCATCAGGCTCAAACAAGTCAAAAGAGGTTCAATGGTTAATTGAATGCTGTTATCTTTCCCAAATGATTCAGAGGTATGAAGGAAAATATCTAAGAACTTTCCTGTTATTAACTTCTTAACTGTTCCTTTCAATTAGAATGAAAATTACTGTAGTCCTGGAAGTCTCAGCATGGTCACAAATAACTTGCATTATGTTGGATCTCAGGCTGTTGAGCTCTGGACTGAAATTCATGGAGATGTTATTTCCAAGCAGTGATAAAAGAAAGGAAAAGATACCTCCTCTTCATGGGGATCTGCTGGATCACTAATGTATATACAACTGGATCTCATTGGATGGCTTGCTCTTGAAAGAAAGTGTCTTTTGCTATAGTGGCAAATATCTGTAGCTCAGGTGTGGGATCAGGGTGATGGATTTTCTGAGCTTTTGGGTTGGTTTCTAAATGTTTTGTTATCAGGCTAGGTAACATCTTCAGCTGAGTTTAGAGGATCATTGTGCCACTTGACATCCAAATGTGCATCTATACTAGTGTTGAGGTTATTGGTCCAACATTTGTCTTTCTTGAGGCATGGGGAACAGATCAGAAATTGGGGATCAAAGGACTACGGTATTAGGAATTCCAGCTGAATCAATTATTATTTCAGGCATGTGATTCCTGCTTTTCCAATACATATTCTTCTGCAAAGTCTATTTTTTTAATCCAAACAATTTATTCCCAGATTGACTGAAAAGCCTGTAGATCAATTCTAACAGATTGACTAAATGTCAATGAGACATAAGAATGACAAGCCTTTATCTTATTAAACGGGGATAGGGACAATCCACAATCCATAATTAAAAGGGATGTGGCAAGAGAGTGTGCTTTCTGTTTCACCAATTTATTCCTTTCCTTCCCAGGTTTCATTCCTAATAGTGTATCATGACCACAAGTAAATTCTCATAAAGATAAAAGTAATTGGAGTGAAGAAATTTGAGGGAGAAATGCTTGAGGAACAAAGAGTCCACTCCTTCTCCTATCCACTCCCTCTGAGACTTAAGCTTCTGTTGCCCACACCAGGCATTACAGAAGCTTTCCCAACTTGGATTCTTCTAGCTGACCATTCTAGCTAAATTTGGTCAATGGAACTGCAGCTTAACATAATTGGTGAGCACTAAATTGGTGAAAACTGCTTTTTAAACATTTAACACAAGTCAGCTTATGGGGAAGGTGGAATGGATTGGATCTGGCCCCACTACTCTCCACCCTCTTTTCTTCCTTCTAATTATATCTCTCTTATAGTGAAGACAACAAATGGGGTGATCTATCCTAAATAGTTTTGTTGTTTCCAGCTGAAATATGGTCGTTCCTTAGGTCAAATACTCACATGTCTTGAGATAGCTTTGCAGCTGTCTCAAAAGGAGGATCTGTGTAAGAAAAGCTGGACTTTGGAGACAAAAACACACACCCAGACAAAGGGAAATGAGAGCAAAAGGGAAAGGGAAATGTCCAATTTGTTAAATGCTGTTTGGCTTTTGTCTCATTGATGGAGGAAGAAGATGAGGATCTATTGAAGAAGAGGGAGAAGGAAGACTCCTTCCTGGTCCAGCTCGGAAAGTGCCCAAGAAAGAACAAATAACAATAGAAATGATGACCAAAGACAAAAACAAATCCATCCCATTGACAGAGAGTTGCTTTGGGATAAATTAATAGCGAGGGGGGGGAATCAAATAGCTCCATTCAGGCATTCCATTTATTTTGTATATGTGTACGTTCTTTTCCAAAAACTGCATAGCTTATTATTTCATCTCCTAGGTAAAGCCTATACTTCCCAGACCCCCTATCTTTCTCTATGTGACTTGTGGGAATGAATTAAAGTTCTGAAGAAAAAAAGAAATGAAACTCTGAGAAGAAGAGATGATGAAGTAAAAGCCAGGTTAGGGGTTTAATGTCTGAGCACCTAGCTGGGCAATGAAGCCAAACAGTGTCAGAAATGGTTCATACTGTATGTAGCTGGAGACCTTCCCACAAAAGGCAAGGCAATAGCTAAATATTTTTGTGTTGTTGAGAAAAATGCACCAACATGGAAAAGTCCGCGTAAATCTTATATGTTCATATCAAAATTTATTTGAGGGCATCTTTACCTCGCTCCTTCCATTCCTTCATCCAAATATTTTCCACAAGTTCAACTTATTTAGCAAAATGGGATTGGAAACTCCAAGTCTGTAATATCACTTGTAGCACAGAAAGGTTCGTGAAAGAATGAGATTGCTGTTGTTTACCAAGGTAGGGTATGGGGAGCACTCTAGGGGTGAAATATATTTACCTTCCTTACTGTTCAGAAGTGCACACGCCATGCATGCACGCGCGCTTCACTTGCACACGTGCATGTCAATGTGTGCGCAGACATGCGCATGCGCAAAATCTTCTGCGCATGCGCAGAAGGTAAAAAAACACATTACGTCCTGGTTAAAACTATGAAGTAATGACACCTGGGCAGGTGGGCGGAGCTTTGCTCCACCATCGCTACCAGTTCTCCGAACCACCAGCCATGATCGCTACCGGATCGCCCGATCCAGTCCGAATCGGGAGCATTTCATTCCTGGAGCACTCTGTCGTGAGCCTGGAATAAGATGCTAGGCAGGAACAGGAGCTGTCTTCCCAAAATATGATAAAACCTAAACTCTGATTAATAAAACACCAATTGCTATGTTCATATAACCTGGGATGCCTTAACGGTATGGCTTAACATATGGTTTGATTTATGTGACAAGTTCCTAGCCAATTTCATTTTTTCTACTTGTTTAACAAAGATATTAAAATAGGAAGGTTTCTAATATGCGTTC